TGCCGAGTGCCCCCTCTTATATTCATCGGTGTCGTGATCTCTTACCTCTCGTAAATCTAATGCCTCCTCAGCGCTTTGAATGTTTTCCTCAAGTTCCTGCAGAGATTTATTTCTTGTATACGCGATAATCGATCTTGGTTCTGGTAGTAACCCGGCAATGATTAATTTAATAAAATATTTATCAGATAAACCGTAGCCCTCCCCAATAGGTTTCCTCATCACACACATGGCATCGTAAAAGTCCATAGGCGTTTCTGATCGTTGTTGTTTTCTCTTCATGATAGCTTGGAATGTGTCGTAACGAAAATTTGGATGAAACCTTTGCATAAATGCATCTTTGACGTCATTCCAACTTTTTTCTTCAAGCTCATCCTTCTTGTTATCATGCCAGTCCCTAGCACTCCCGGACAGAAAATACCCCAAGACTCTTTTAGCAGCCGACTCATCCCACTCCCATGCCCATTTCTCCACCTCGATTATTCTCAGGTGCTTCTCAGGTGCCTCCGAAATTTTGCCGCTAAAGTGAGGTATTTTAAGTCCGATAAAATCTGGAGTTTGAGCGGTCATTTTTTGGTGTTAATTTTAAGAGACTACCAAAATAAAAATATGAATTGAAAGGCAAGAAATAAAAACAAAATTGGCTGCAGAATTTTAAGAAGAGTCTTGCGAAGAGGATTCTAAATTCAGCGGAATCCCAGAAAACATTCAACACTGCGACGTTATAATTTTCTGAAATTTCGGTTCCTATTCCTTCCAGAGTTTGATCTTAATGGAAAGTACGCGAACTTTTGCATCCAATAAAAAATGTAAAAATTTGAAGAAAAAAACGAAAATAAAAAAAGAAGAAAAGATAAAAGAAATGAGCACGCGAAGACAAACTAAAAAATAGAGGTGTGGATTGAAAAGATCTTACAATTTTGAAATTTTTTTTGAAAATTACTCGAACGTTGCTTCACTACCACAACCACACAGCTGCTACATTCCGCACTACGACGGAATTCTGATAGTGAAACACTCTACTGCAACACTCGCAACGCGGACTTATGCACGACGGTCGGTACCGAAGGGTAAGAAATAAGGGTGACTGCCTTACAGAACGTCACTAAAATCCTAACCAGCCCTGGATTCAGGGTTTACGAGAAGACACACGATACACGGTCTGGAAGCCGCTTTAGGCTTTCGAGTTCCACGGGAGAACTGGGGGAAAGCCGGAAAAACAGTATACGACCCAGAGTAAACGAGAAACGCTGTAAGACTGTCGATACAGGGCACTCCAAGGGAGCACATAGCCTGAAGCATCGGTTTATTTGAGCACAGAACCCTGAATCAGCAGTCGACATCCGCGACCAGGCAGTGAAGAACCAAGTCCTCGGAAAAGCCAGGCTTGGTTGCCGAACACACTCTGGTCTCACTAGCGCCTCCAGCCCAGTGGAAACCCAATGGAGCTGAAGTGCAGTCTAGCAACCTCTCATTCCACGGTGTCACGTCATAGATGCAGCGGTGACTTGTGTAAATCTGCTGTTGCACTGCAAAATTTGGTAGCAACGCACAATGGATTGAGTCAGTAGAAGAAGTCGGACAAAATTTGGAAACTTTAAACGCTTATATCTCCATTTACACAAGACTTTGAAGTTCTGATAGTGGTTCCATTGGTTCCTCCGTGCAATTATCTTCTAGAGGCACCCCTTAAAATTTCAAATGTGACGAATTAAACATCAAAATTTGAAGTTTCAGTCAAAAATTTCATGTCCGACCTCTCTAATTGACTCGATCCATTGTGCGACGGTCCGCGACTCCGTTTTCCAGTCTCGTCTGCGCACGGTGTTGGACATACTGCCGTGCTTAGGAAGAACGCCGTATGAGCCTTCAGGCGATGCCAAATTTCTTCTGGCAAGTCGCTAATTTTCAGGACACTTTTTGAATATTTTTCTGCCCATTTCTCAGATAATTTTGTTTGTAATTTGATCTGAAGTGTCTGAAAATTTTAAGGGAAACTATTCATAATTTTCCTTAAAGATAAACATTTCATCCAAGGAAATTTGGCAACTCTCGAATGCTCATACGGCGTTCTATCTTAGCACGGCGGTATAGCTATTTTGCTTTTCTCCCGATCCCTCCAGCACCCCACCCGAGAGCAAATGGATTGCAACGAACGATGATTGCTAAATGATTTGCAAATGGACGAATATATTTGGATCGCATCTTGCAAGAAGGAACCAAGAGCATTCCAATGTCGCTAAGATTGTGCAAATTTTTGCACCTTGCAAGTATAAACTGATCATCTAAACAAGTTTAATCTTTTCTCCCAGTAAACTATAAATTCGAGACGAAATTTACCATTCAAAATTTAATTTTTTGATTTCATAAATTTTATTTCAAAGAATGTGCACACCTCCGACCAATGAGGTTGCAAATATTGTAAAGCGTCTCGAACCATGACTACAATCAAGGGCTTTTCGTTAGTCATCAATAGTTGACCAATAGATACAAAAAAACGATCCTCTAAACATTCTTGTTCCTCGAAGATCAACTTAAAATCATGATCAAAGGTCTTGTGCCTGAGAAAACATTACTTCCCACATGACAATCCGAGCATGCTCTCTGAAAAACATTTAAACAACTTCAAATCCATGAATCCTAAGATGTCATGTCATGTACCGCGCGGTTCCGATACACCAACGCTCGTTACAAAACTGTCCCTCTCCGTAAACTCCGAAGTGAAAGTATGCTCGAACATGTGAAACATATAAATATGAAGTTATTCACAACTTTTTTTGAGCTTTTTCCAAGATCAACACGTCCAATTATGAGGGAAGGCGGGTCATGCACTAGTAATTACGTCCATGCACTCGGCGAAAGTAAATAAGGTGGACGTCACTTGAAAATGATTGATCTTCTCTTATTCTCCGAGCCATTTCCGAGCGGGCGAAGTTGATTTTTCTCGTGAATATGACACTTTGAATAATTTAGAGTTCTCATTTTTATAGTCGCTCTCTGAGACTCCGCGATGATTTATTTTCCGTGGCTGCATGATGAGTGTAAACATGTTTTTTCTTCTTATTGAAATGTGCGAGGGTTGTAAAGATTCGAGTAGAAATTTTCTAATAGAACAAACTGGGAGGGGGGTTAAATGGTTAAAACTAGGGTTAAAACAGGGCTAAAACTTTAAAAAACACTAAAAGGTGGAACGCACAGTGGATCGGGTCCATTAGAGAGGTTGGACATGAAAGTTTTGACTAAAACTGCAATTTTGTATGTTTACTTCGCTAGATTTTACATTTTGATGGGTGCCTCAAGAAGTAAATTTCTCGAGGAATTCAATGGAACCACTTTTAAAATCTTAAATTTTTGTATGAAAGGAGTTATAGGCTTTTAATGTTTCCAAATTTTGTCCTACCTCTTCTATTGAGTCAATCCACTGTAGGACGCTTCGAGCTGTTACCAGTTTATTTTCAGCTGCAAAACACGGAAAAATAAATAAAAAATTGAGTGGCGATCTGACTCCAGCCATGTTTTATTTATCTTTTATTTTTTTAATTTTTTAATTTATTAATTTTTTTTATTTTTTTTTACCCTTTACTTTTCATTTATTTATTTTTTTATTTTTTACATTTTATTTTTTATTTATCTATTGTTTTCATTTTTTTATTCATTTCGTGTTTTTGCAGCTGAAAATGCGAGCTGGTAACAGCTCGGAACGTCCTGTCTTATAGTTTTTTAAGGTTTCAGCCTTGTTTACCCATGTTTTTAATTCCCTCTCTATTTGTTCGTAGATTCGGGCTATGTTTTTTGTGCTTTATCGTTTTCTAATATATTGAGTCCTCTTATTCAGCACCTCAGCTAGAAAAGCAAATAACTCGGACTGTCGGAAGCCTAATGTGCTGTCATGTACGGCAAAAATTTTAAATTTCAGGTCATCTCAATGCCAGTATCGTCGTAAGCCGTCGAGTACTTTCATCTGTCTCTGTTTGTGCCCCTCTGTGGGACCTCTTCTGCCGTGCTAAAAACGCCGCATGAGCTTTCAGGCGTTGACAAATTTCCTTCGACAAATACGAGTCTTCAGGAAAATTTGTGAACATTTTTTCTCAAATTTTTAGGAGGATTTTGTTCGTAATTGTATCTAAAAAGTTTGAAAATTTCAAGGAGAAACATGCATAAATTTCTTCAGAAATACATGTTTTATTCGGGGAAATTTGACAACTCTCGAGTGTTCATACGGTGTTCTTCCTTACCACGACAGTCTTCCTCTCTTTTCCTCTGTGCAGAACATTAAGCGGAACAAAATGTCATGCAAGTGAGCGGCTGCGGCTGACAATGCCGGTAGCTCGAGGTCGAAAGGCGCTTGAAAGGGATGAAATGTCAAACGAGGGCTCTTTGTTAAATGTCAAACGTGTCTCATAAGGCAGAAACACACGATTCTGCAGATGCAATTGAAAATCTCCTTCTTTTTTCGCCCTTAGTAGCTTGTCATTTCTGTGATTATCCGGCAGGAAATGGCGTATTTAGAGGTTAATCGAGGGGCCCGGAGGACAAACCGCATAAGTGCAGTTTTTTAAAACATCCAGATATTAATGATTTCAAGTAAAGCTAGTTTTAATGCATACCCTGCGACAAATTCGCTCCCAAATTCCAATTTTTAAACATCAAAAAGTCTTTTGAACTTTCTTTCTATCATTAGGATGCATGTAATTCCAAAACTTCAAACACGAATTTCTCAAAGTAGCAAAAACTGCACTTATGCGCCTTGTCCTCCAAGTCCCTTAATTTGACGTCGAATATTGATTTTTGTCCATAGCAAATTTGGTCAATAAAATTTGTTCGTATTCTTTACTCTCCACAAATTTTTAAATTTTTTGGCCCAAAAATTGAATCTGGTCCAATGAAAGAGCTGTAAGCAAAGATGGTAGACGAAATTTTACTGCACGAAAATCAAGGTTTAAACTTTGAAATTTTCAATTTTCTCCTTTTATTTCATGAAATTGTACTTCGCATCTCTGGTTGTAACGTGTTACGTGAGAAATTGATGAGTGAAATTCGGTTTTAATCCTGGTGAAGGATAGAAGAATTGAGTCGATCGACGTGAAACAATCGACACCGATTCGATCGGCAAAATTCGATCGATTCACGGACTTGTCGATCGATTAACGGATTTGTCGATTGACTCATGGCTTTTGTCGACCGATTGACGGGTGTGTCGATCGATTCACGCGTTTGTCGATGGACTCACAACTTTTGTCGATTGATTCACGGGTTTGTTGATCGAATCGGTGTCGATCGATTCATGTCGATCGATTCCTGTTCTCATTTTTCGATCGAATTCACGCCCTCCCTCATTTTCCTCCTTGAATTAAAATGGACTTCCACTTTGAGCCCGCTGCCGTTGCAGCTTCCCAACGGAGAATTTCTCCCTCTTGTCGTGGTTTTTGGTGAAATACGTCTCGATCTGCTCCAAAGTTTTCCCCTCCGTCTCCGGTAAGTAAAAGTAGTGATGGACGACCCCAGCCATGGTACATACTCCGTAAAGGTACATCACGCCACTGAATCCCAGCCACGCCTCCATGTACAGGTACGTCTTAGTCAAGACGGACATCACAATATGAGTCCAAGCGGCTGCAAGGCCCGTAGCTGTACCTCGGCCCCTAAAAGAAAAGCAAGAAACAGGAAGGTGAGATTCAGTCAGTCATCGGTGTGCGAATTTTCATTTGTTGACAGCACTCGCGTGAAATCATGCTACATAGCTTGAAAGACCAATTTATAAGCTCTATAATACTAGGGAGCTATTCCCCCTGGCCACTACGCGGCCAAACTCCCAGGGAGCGCTTCTTGTTCTCCTAGGCCCGCGTCGACAAAAGAACGACCAAAAAAAATGGAAAGCTTTTCATACCCGACTCTCATTTATCAAATCTTTCTCTGGCCGGGAGCAATTGGACCAATAAAAATCGAATGAAAAAATCGGCATCTATTTCAAACTTCAGGCCAAGACTGAGACGGAACGGAGCGTTTCGTCGCGTTTGGATAGTCTGTAGCAAAGGAGCATACCTTCGATTCCCTTATCCTACTATCAGACCAAGATTCAACATTTCCCGCTTACTTCAATGTTCCGCTAAAATTAAACTTCCCGCCATTTTTCATTGGCGGGAATTTCAAATGTTGCCCTCTTTTCTAAGCTTTCTGGTCTCCTATAATATAAAAAAATCCGGGGCCTATTTTCAATTGCTGATTACAGCGGGCTCATCTAGGGACTATCACGTATCGATAACCGCAAAAATTATGGAAATCGGCCCAGTAGAAGGCTCAAACGAACTATGACAAAAAATAAAATATTACGTTGTTTAAATGGAGCATTTTTGTTGGAGTAGTTCCTTTAATACTCAGAAGTCATTCTAATAGAATTTTTATTTTTATGAAAAAAACATTGATTTTTTTAGAACTTTATATTTTTTTTCTAGATTTTAATTCTAATTTATATTTAAGAAGACCAGGATTTCTATCGTCCTTGTGGAATACTTGTTATGTTATGAGAATCAGATTCCCATTACTACATTAGGAATTCTATGCAGTGGGGCAACGGCTAGATTTTCCTTGCTTTGTCTCTCTTTCAATTTTGAAAAGTGCGTAATTTATGAACAATCCCTGATAATAACCCAATTCAGTGAGACTTACGAAAGAGGGAAAACCTCGCAAACAAGCTGCCACGGTAAGGTGATGATGCTGAAGCCATGGAGGAATTTTATGATGAACCAGAGCATAAGGGGTAACCAAACGCGAAGTGGGTATTGTGTCAAACTTTGGAGGAATGAGGCATACATTCCGATGCTAAGGATACAGATACCCGCTAGGATGTGCGAGAATAGGGCGATCCTTCGCTTGCCAAATCGCCGAAGGAATGCCACATTCACCATTGCACCCATGATAAACAGCCCTGAAAATATCATCTGAAAAAACAAGATCGTGGCTGTAATATCCATGGCTATACAGTAGAAAAATACGTTTCTTCCACTGCGGCGTTGCAATTCTCTCTTAAGTTTTATTTCCTCAAAAAGGATAGATCAATCTTTTTTTTTTGTATTTTCTGTGCATTTTTACCGCATTTAAAACTATTCAATTATAGATAATGTGTTAGGTGCGCTAGTCACAGAATCTTTTTTTATGATTACAGACTAAATAAAATAGAATTTGATCATTCATAATAGACAAGCAAAAAATAATAAGATCCGTTCAAAAACCAGGTTCTTAGGTCTTTAGGTTTGAAAAAAAATCACGGTACTTCATTAAATTATACGTATTTGAAGGAAGGAAGGGCTCCACTTTATCATGGATTTACTTATCTTGAGGATTACTTCAACTCCTGAAATCTATGTCAATGATATGATAAAAACGATTTGAATGATTTATGAAATATCATACTAAAGGAAAAATCGGAAGAAATCCTCAACTTACCAAGGCAAGATTTGGATCAATAGGGGATTCCAGCATTCTGAGTTCCTTGACAAAATAAGGCTTAATGCCGTGGACCCATGCAATGTCGGTAATAATGAACACGATAAACATCAGCCGAAGAGGACGAAACGTTCTTTTATTGGTCAGTTCCTTCAATTGTTCTTTCAAGAAGCCACCCCTTTTTGCTACAGGTTCGCCCTCTGAAAAAAAGACGTGAAAAATAATACACAATTATTTTTAAAAACGGTCGCAGTGTATGAAATAGTCTTTTTCTTAACACCCATAACCTAACAGCCTGAGCAGAAATAGGGAGCGAGGGGCCTGTCACCCCCTCCCCTAAAAGAAACAAGTTGGTTTTTGCAATCGCTAGCGATAGCAATATTCGTCATGGGAACTTTTGCTTCTGGGATATGAAAATTTTAAGGTACAGTTCGTTTGTAGTATCTTCAGAATTGAAGGGGCTATGTAATTTTGTGTCGACATCTCTTTTTTAACATTTTTAATTTTTTTTCTTTGCATACAAGAAAGCTGTTATTTACCAATTATTTATTTTCGTTGGATTATGTATGGTTTTTGGAAGTTAACGCATTTAACTTTCAGTTTCGTTTTTTCGGCGTAAAGTATGATATTTTTACTCTACGCATATGCCCGAATACGCATCATAACGACGGTGAAACTACCAAACCACGTATCTCGTTTGCGGTGTTTAAAAATCTCCGCTCACATTTTATTTTTTTGAAGTAGACCAAATCAATATCATTCCTTGAAATTTTCACAGAATTTTCTCCGCACGAAGAGGAAAAATCACGGAAATTTTCAAGACTGGACGTTAAGTAGCTTTTCATTTAAAAAATAAAGTATGACAGGAAGTCTGCGACGTCGCAAACCGAGATACGTGGTTTGGTAGTTTCACCGTCGATAAGTGACCTATGTGCTTCCTAAGTTGCCATTTTTTTCATTCAAATAGATGTAACCGAAATGTTAGATGTGTACTACCTATACTACTTTCATGTCATTGCTTTATTTATTTATTTACTTTTTGCGTAGGTATAAATTGTTATTTTTTGCTGAATTTTGGAGAAAATATTGCTTTAAGAACGTGGAATGTAAATTAATTTTATTGAAAAAAGAAAATACCATCATTAATTTGGGCGAACAGAGAAAATATACATCAATATTTGGGTCAACATCTCCCTGATTATATAAAGGATGAATATATTAGTATTTCTGTATCAAAAAACTTAGCTTTTGTCTTCAGAGATACGATGATTCTAGTCCCAGTCAATTTGTTTTATTGAAAAAACAAAAAAACAAAAAATAAATAAAAAAAAAAAAACAACTGAAATGTCAGACATACTATTTTCATGTCTTTCTATTTGTATCAATAGGTACTTTTTGCTTAACTTACGAACGTTGAATGCAAATAAACTTTATTGAAAAAAGAAAATAACGTCATTAATTTGGGGGAACATGTGGCTGACTATATGAAGAAGGTATATTCCAGTATTTTTGTTTAACATATTAACTCACGAGAAAATGTACGTACATTTATCATCTACTATTAATTATTTTTTGATGATTAGTCTAAAACATTCAATACAACCATTAAAAAAAAGTAGTTCCCATCGTCGGGTCTCGAACTCCCGATCGCCGGGTGCCCGCACCTACTCAAAAATACGAGGCGGTTTAGTCAACTAGGCTTTAATGGATCCACGTGGGTGAGAGTAAAAATAGCATACAAAAGACTCGGGCAATGGGCGGGACTTATCACAAGAGACCTTGACTGCTTTTGGGATGATATGAAGCGCATTGCTGTTTTGCTGTAGGAGCCATGGTTCGCACTGTTTTAATGCGTCTCGAGGTTCATGCCAGCACGCATTCCGATCGCGGCAGTTGAGCTAAGGCAATATTTGCGTATCCATGAATTAAATCAATCAATCGAGCTCTGATTTTGACTTCTTTATCCGTAACGAGTCCTCCAGAACAATTTTCCACCTTGTACGATGGTTATTATTTCTTTACTTCTATTTTTCAAATTTGAGGTGGGATAATGGCGGCTTCTCAAGAACACCGAGGTAGGCGATCTTTTGCACCAACGAACAGAAAACTGATGGCGAAAAATAACCAATCAGAACCTCCCAAAAACAAAGAATTTGCCTAAAAACGGAACTTCGTGGTTCTGCGCAGATTTACCAGTCAGACACGACATCTCAAAGTGGAAAAAAACTCGCTGAAAGCGAATTTTAGCAATCAACACAACTTGACGTAGAGACATGATTGGCTAAAAAATACAACGGTTTTTGATACATCGGAAAATCAACCAAAAATCGGAGACTGGGCGAAACGCTCAAGGTCGCAGAGGTATAGGGAATCCCATTGCGAAAGCAACGGAACGATTGTAATATCATGGGGAACTCCGTTCCCATGACAAAAAGAAAACATTTTCAACCGTTCATTTGTAGGTCATATTGCATACCTTTAATCGGTAAACTCGAATATGCAGAGTTCTCTTGGCTCAGCCGGGCAGACTTCACGGTGTATTTGACTAAAGATAGGAACTCAGGTTCAACTTCGGCCGAGCTAACCCAACCTCTCAACCAGCACAGGGATTTTTTGGCCTCGTCCAGTCGACCTCTAAGTGTCAGCCACGTTGGCGATTCGGGCAGCTGAAAATTAGAGTAACAATAAGGTAAAACACCAACATAAAAAATATGATGCAAAAGCTTGAAATGTTGCTGCTGAAATGTTCACGAGGGGAAAAGACCCTATAGCCTAGAGAATCAACAATTTCAGTAGAGTAATTCTTGTTAAGCTGGGTTGAAAACTGAATTTTCAGATTTCGACTGCAAATTCTCTCTATATTTCTTTAAGAGTGTGTTGTGAACAGTGCAGTACATTGTTTCCCAAAATTGGACAAAAAATTGCATTGTAATCTGGCAATAGGACTTCATATTGCAATAATTAGGCACTCCAATCGCTGACAGATTTGTAAAAGCGCTTATCTGCATATGGAAACTAATTGCACCTACGTTGTTTCTGAAGTGCGCTGGAAAGTGTAGCTCCTAATTGCAGGATGTAATACAATTTGTGTCTTAAGCATGGCAGTGTCACGAGTGTGATACGGGTTCAGTGGATGCAACCGGACATCGCCATTGCCTCTGTAGTCTTGCTTTAGTCATAAAAAAATAAAATAAAAAAATACTCGGCTCAAGGATGGGTTATCCTTGAATTTGCCGTCAAAAGATTTTTTCATCTTGATTCGACCTGAATTCCCCCAGGAACAAGAAAATACATGTTTGGAATAAGCACAATAGTAGCTTAAAGTAAACAGCATCATTCTTTATTTATAAAAAACTTTGAACTGCCACAGCTACGGTTTATTTTCTCATCTCTCAGAACTTTCCATCCCAAATTATCGTAACGTCTCCATCAATACTTGGGCACTGATGACTCAATTTTGAGTTTTTCTGCCCGAAGGTACCCTTCCCTGGATGTCTGAAAATTATTTGAGTGTGTTGTCTAACCTGAGTCATGAATGTGAATGTGATGATAGAGCATGAACTGCTCACTAAAGCAACCGTTCGCCAATCGAAAAGGTAACCAAATAAGAACATTAACCAAACACCTGAGAGATAAATTAAAATCAGAACATAATAGGTTGGTCTAATAGAAGTAAAGATTGTGCATATATATTGTCATAATACGAGTAGATTGCATCGTTAGGCCTTTTCTCCACGGGACGTTTTCATGGGATTTGTCCCAAGTTCGAATCGCAGGAATGAAACTCCTAGGATTTTTCCCAGTTACCGTCTTCACGGGACGAGGCTCATACGGTCCTGGGACTAGTTTGCGCCGGAAGATAAATTAGATAAAGCCGAGTATTTAACCGGATTAAAATAATAATTGCACTCAATTGACAATTAGACACATTATTTTAACTGAACAAACATGAACAATAGACTAATCAACAAAATATCGCACAGTTCGTTTTCACTTCTTCTTCCTCTCTCAGTGGGTCCAAGGGGTACAAGGACCATACTTGGTACTCGGAAAAATATTGATTAACTTAATATTTTTTCGAACTTTGTAAGAGGGATTTTTCCCTGGGACAAATCCCGTGAAACGACCCGTGGAGACAAGGCCTTAAGTTTTAGGCAATACGGATCAATGATAAATATTTCATTGATGTGACTATTGTAGAATTAACAATATTAATTAGATCTCTTTGCCACTCTTTTACACCAGGGTGAGAAGTCTTCTTTTCAATGAAAGAGTGTATGAGTCACCGGTTGAGAGACAAAAGCTTTGAGCTCTAATCAATGGTCCACGTCGACTACATTTTGTAATTAGGAACTATAATATCTGGTTCAGTTTAAAATCAACACATGTACCATTGGTTTTCCCATAGACATATGTGTTTTAACGGATGAGCTAGAACTTGTGGTTTTTAATTGCAAAATACAGTCCATTTTACAAGCAAAAAA